AACATAAAAATATCAAAATATTGCTTGTAATGGATAGACATCGAGTAAACTAGAAGATTAAGTGTATTTTTCACCCGATTTGAGTATGAATATGGCATTAAATCTGGTGCAATCTTGAAAGTTGGTGCACAGGTAAAAAGTGAGACTACGGGACGCCACTGAGTATTACGGAACCGGTTCAACGGCAACAAGTATACTTATTCAGGGCGTGAAAACCGTGAATTGAGTGATGTGGTTTCGTGTCAAAAAATAAAATGAAAGTGCAGTGACTTTTTGTTTTAAATAAAAAGGACTTTGGATTTATCTAGCGCGCAGCTGAAAGTAGTCTAAGCTTACCGCTTGCTGGAGTTTTTATACCACTGCTGTTGAAACAATTTGTGCCAGACAACTCAAAATTTGGTGAGATTCATCTATTTTACAAGCATTAATATACTAGTAAAATTACATGAAATGTATTTTTAAATGTTGCCGTGGGTATTGTGGATTTTCCAGATACCCGGTTCAACTTCAGTTGGGTGCGGTAGCTCTTATTTTCCTTCTGCCAATGAATATAGATAGTGCGAATAAGGGCGTCTATGTGATGTTTCGCGTAATATTTGAAAACGGACTATAATTTGGAAAAATTATCAATGTTGCTTTTATAAATGTGAAGTTTAAGACCCATTTAAGACGACAGTATTATAGCGAATTGATATTTTTTTTGCTTTTTGAGAAAAAATAAGATAGAAAATCAAATGAGCCATCGAAGGTAAATTTTTCGATAAAAGTTCTACTCAAAAGACTTTCGCAAATGTTTTTAGATTTCTTTGGAGAAAAGTTATAATTTTTGTTTTCTTTTTAAATAATAGAATGACCAGCATGGTTTTTAATTATGTACAAGCAATTTGGAGATAATTGTGAACAATTGTATAAACCAAGTCATCAATGTTCCATATCTGGGATCTTACCCACGAAAAATTTCGAGTCACAGAAAGTCGATTTTTGTCAATAAAATTACTTTCGATATAACACCAGATCTCGACGTTTCATGCATTTTTAAGCCATTTGGCATCAATCAATAAAAAAAAATCAAATTTTGACCGGGATCATTTTCGGAACCAATAAACATTTTGTATATGGGCCGTTTTTGAAATTCAAGTTATGCATCCCGGAAAAAAAATAACCATACAATTACCATAAAATAAAATACATTTACATCAAAATCCTTTGTTAACAATTGATCTTATTGTACAAGAAATTTTAACATATTGTTATTACAATTGATGTACCATATATAGTAAGAATTTTCGACAATAGAACAACAAACAATTAATGGTAAATGGCTCAAGTTTGTTCGGGAAAAAGTGATTTTTCGTTTGGTTAAGATACATAACAACTCCCTTGTTCTATTGTAGATATCCCCATTTACCACAGATTATATTGTGGAAACAATAAATTCTATGGTTATTTTATCGTTGTGGACAATACGATTTATTGTAAATACAATGAATTCTATTGTATGGTTACAATACATTTCATTGTACCTCTATGGTTTTTTTTACGGGATTCTCATTGGCATCCTAATAAACATAATAAAACTAAACCGCTCATACGATTACGTTTGAAAAGCAGCTTATAGGGGAAATGGCTCTAGGTTAGGTTATCTTTATTAGCGGGACTTTCAGCCAGAGGCTGGTTCATCTCTTCAAAAAAAATGGCTCTAATGTTGGCCTATGGATCTAAGATTGGGCCCATCGCTAAAAATCTGCTATTTATCAATTGTATCTAGATGAGCGCGTCATTGGGACGGTACTAATGGATATTTTTGGTTGCTATTGAAAATTTAGTCGATTGCTGAATTTATGTATGGGTCCAAATTAGGGACACTACATACATTTCCCCTACTAATTGATTTTTTTGCAATTCAAAAGTTAATTGACTTATAAATCAAGAGAATTAACTACCTAAATGTGAAACCCGCTCCGAGAATTCTTCCTAGTTAATGTAAATGTCTTTTCTTATTGTAGACACAGAGCAAGATTGTATGAAATATTCGAAACTGAAATAAATATTGATGATGTTTAAATTACACTAGTGAATGGAATTACAAATAGAAAAACCGCGTTTAAGGAGGAATGGTAAACTAAACTAGCATGGATGTGTTTGCAACTACATTGAATATATATTGCATGCAGATTCTCCCTTGAAATACAGTTCATAAGCCATTGGAATGCTACGGCTGTCGAACCAGTGCCGTACTCAAGGAAAGATGATCAGATCATTTCGGTAAACTGCTTGGAACCAGATCATTCATATAGGTGATCCGGAATATTTTCAATTATCCATCGGACCTCTTTAATTTAGTTCAATGTGGAATTTTGTGTAGGTTCCCTATTTCATGGGCAACTCAGTGTCATTAAACATTCATCCCTAGTAGCACGCTTGTCACAAATCAGTTGTAGAAACTTATATACGACTTATTTCAGTCTTAAACAAGTTGCTGTAACGTATTGTGATGAAAGTGTGCTACTCGGGATTGGCTCTATGTGTGTCTGACAACGTGATACTAGTAGTTTTTGTAAGCACCGTAATGAGGGGCTGGCGAGAACGGCATTGTTGCCAGCTAATTTCAAATCCTTGATGTTTTCGATCTGAGAACTCTGAGAAAAGTTTTTGAGCTTTGGTAAGCTGATGATCCTGTTTTTTTTTAATATGAGCCGTGGATCATTCGCTCTCCATACTGATTCGGATCTTTTGTACGGATCCGGATCTGACTTTCTATCTCTAATATAAAACTCTTTTAACACTATGAAATTTTTAATATTGTTTAGTTTATTAGCTGATATTTTGTCACTTAACTTGTTCGTGCCACGTGATCAGATTAGGGAGAGGGTGTTGGGCGAGTGTCTTAGGGGGAGGGGGGGGGGCGGTCGTTTTGAAACTACTCAAAAACTGGGCACGTTGTTTGTCAACCCTACCCTGCCCCTATCACCTCTTTAAGTATAATAAATCATTCCCATCACACAATTAAGGTTCTAAAATAACTAATTCAAACTGTTCATTAAGAAAATAATCTACACTGAATTTTTGTAAATTATTCGTCGGTAACATCATCGAGTTATCTCTGATTACTGCGGTTGGTTATCCGAAATTATCAGTATGCAAATGCTGTTCCACTCACAACTTCCAGGTATAGAAACCTCGGACTTTGTTGTTTGAATAAATTATAGATTAATGATTTTTAACCGTATTGTTGTCGTTTTATGTGCTTGCAATTGTTGACGATGCGCAAAGTGTATACAAACACAAAAAAAGTGCGGCTCTAAACTCCTCATTCGGGTGAGGTGGCATTGTGCTGGCCAGCAATCGTACGTCGACGTGGGGGGAATTGGCAGGATATTGAGCGACGCTAATTAGAGGAACGAAACGAGCTCTGACTCCGAGATATTTCAATCCCAATTTGTGCCATCGGTTAATGAATATTCAAAGAGGTGTTTTTCTTAGTTCAAACGATATCAGATCTTTGACGCCAGTCAAACCAACACCGAACACGGGGTGCCTATCGAGTAAAACTGAGTGGGCTGACTATTTTTGTCCGGAACAATGAAATGTGAGGGTTATGTGGAAACGTCAGAAGTTGATGTCTCACCTTAACGTTCAAGCGAATGTTCTATTGGATATTGATCATTCATACCAAGCAAGGTAAATCTTGCAAGCACGTTCCGATGCCGTTCGGTTTTCGGGGCAAAATATGAGCTATAATTATCATTTTGAGCTAATTGAAACATATCGAACCAACGAAGTAATGAAATTGGGTTGTTAGCGAAAAAAGGTCATCTTCAATATAATTCCACTTAATTAATTTTAGTATTTCGACTACAATGTGCAGTCTTCATCAGTTCCGTGTCATTCCCACTAAAGACTTATCAAAAACCTAACCCCCTTAACGCATCGCCAAGGTAAAAATGTCAAGATCACAGGTATGAAAATGAATTTACAACTTGTAGAATAGGAACCTACCCAACTAATAAAACCAAAGATTTATAGGAGAAAATCTATTCAAATCTCTAATAAGAAAAAAACAAAAATAAATAATAAAATTACCGCTCTTTCAATGGATATTGAGGTCCCAAACAACTGTTCAAAATTTGAAAAAGTTTGGTAATAATCACGATTTTCAAGACAATTTTAAATTTGGTATTGGAAAATGTATGGGAAACGGAACGATCCTATTCATTTGCTTGTCAAAAATTCAAATATTGAAAATAGGTTGGAAATACTATGCAGAACAACTTTGTCGACAAAGTGTTGTACACGTACCTACAAGTTTACATATTCGCTGAAAATAGTTTTCATGTAACTTCCATTGGAAACCCAAATGATTTTCATCCATAATCAAAATTAATGGAATTTATCTGAACTTCACATAACATTTATGCGATCACATAAATTTTATATGATTTTTCATATGAATTTCACCTCCCTCCTAATATTCATGTGATTTTGTGGTGGGATTTGCAGCTATGTGATCACAGGAAAGCTATGTAAAATCCACATGGATTTAAGTGTACGCCTGTAGGTATGCACGAAACAATAGGTCTAAATTAATATAATAATAACTTATTTTTCCTCAGAAGTCTAATCGATTTGCAGTCTTCGGCAAAGTTGTTCTGCATAGAATCCCCAATCTATTTCTGAGATTAAATAAATTTGAGAAATTTTTGAATTTTTGGCAAGCAAATGAAGGTTCGTTCCGTTTTCCATACATTCTTCCGCAAATCCAGATCACATCCAAATTTGTTCAAATTTGACACCGTAGTTGGGAACCTCAATACACATCTCTCAAACCCAAGATATGTCAAAAGTTTAATCTTAATCGGAAAGAGTTGTGCTGTGTGTTGTCGATAAGACCATTCATTTATGAACAAAAATCCATATTGCACTGAAAACCTGAATCAAAATTGACGAGATAGTCGAATAAAGATATTCTCATTAGAAAGATAAGAAATGTTAACACTCACCTATGGGTATGGGTTTGAACCTGTAAAAAAAGATAATGGTTGGTTAACATTCGCAAAACAAATTTAAACATAGAGCAAACATAATGAAAATAATACTAGCCGAACATTTCAAAAGGTCCGTGTAAACCTTTGTCGAGTTATTTTCTCCACATGGTTTGTTAGAAGAAGGTATTATCTATCATATAAAACGATAAGCACAGCTGGAAACGTATTTGCAGCCGAGTTATTAACGAAAGAGAAAGTCGATGAAGAGAATCGATTAAAGCAGATAGGACCTTTTGAAATGTTCCTTTATAATAGATTGTAGCCGCTTTCGAGCTCTTCTTATTCTTGGCTTTTACACTTTTTTGTGAGCGGCTCGCAACTTAGTGTTCTAGATGTACTTCCATAGTTATTGATTGAGAGCTTTCTATGCCAACAAATGCATGAATTTGTATATTGTGCGGCAATGATACTCTATGCCCAGGGAAGAAAAGAAAATTTTGAAATGGAACATCATCTCGAACAGGCAAATCCACGCAGACACGGATTTGGTAATGCCTTGGCTAACTTCGCTATATGAGGCCCAGACTTTCAAGTTGCTGCATATAATAGCAAGAATTTAAATTCGTATCACGTTTCATTTATTCAATAAAACATCGTCAACTTACTACATAAAAACAATGAAAAAACAACAACATTTACTATGCTTTTGGTCCACGTGATTTTTCTATCACGAGCGGCACAGTTTTTAAAGATGTGATTCATATAATTTGACCTTGAGCTGCTAAGTGTATGCTAAGAGTTTATCAATTTCTCTTCCAAAAATGCGTAAGAATAATGCAAATTTCAATAAACACCGTAATACTGATTGTTGAGTCATTATCATTTTACTTCTCGAAATAAAATAATACGATGATAGTCAAACCTACACGGAACAATGAATCATACATTAAAAAGAATCATATTTTTTCTGAACTACCACGATGGCTGCTTAAGTTTTTTTTCTGCTGATTGCTGATCTGTATCTCGAACTATATACGCTTGCTTCTTAAGCAATAAATCATTTCAGTTTGCTATCAATCTACATACAAGAAAATAAATCAGCAACTCAACAAGCATGATAAAATAAATGACATCGATAAACCTAACTCAAAACCTGGTTGATTAGCTCTAGACAAAACAGCAGAAGCCGATCTGATTTGATATTCAACCCGAGCCAGATCGTTTACCCGTTTGACTTCTGCACGTAAACTCCCACACACCATTTCCACTATTTATACTAGGTTGGTACCAACCCACCCAACCTAGGTGACTGTCGATCGTGTGCGACTTCTGCTTGTGTATTCGTGAGCCGTTTACCTACAATATGTACCTACTCTAGTTGTCCGATAGAGAAAGAGATAATTAGCGATTCTAACGGCCGTAGTAAAATCACATCAACCGGCTTTGTCTGATTAGCGGTCATCCGAGAGTGTAGGGGAACGGCACAGCGCTTGTTCTTATACGAGCACATGCACATATAAAAACTATAAACCAGCTAGTAAGCATTTTTCTGCTTTTATTGCTTTTCCTATGGCTACTTCCACACTTTGACTTTTGTGCACATTCCTTCCGAATAAAACGAAATGGGGCTGCTTCAAATTGTTAAATCAATGTGAATATGTATTGAATTTGAGAAGAACTCAAAATTGAAAAAAAAAAAATTAAGAGGCGAACCATAATCATCTTTAAGTAAAGGATCACTTATAGAAAATCAGATATCAAACGATCAATAAAAGATTAAATAAATAAAAGACCCAGAAAGAATATTATGCTACTTCTAGTTACAGTTGCAAGCACAGCACAGCAAAAAATAATTTTAATATCACATTAAAGTGGATGCACTTCAGCCGTGTGGAAAATATGTTGTAATATTACTTGCCAAAAAGAACAAAATTATAATTAATACCGTGTATGAACTAACATTACGCTGCTTTTACTGCATTTGTTTGTTTTTGTGGTCATAAAAATTACATGAGATTTTCGGCATGATTGAAGTGCATACTCTTGGATGTAATAATAAAATTAATTTTTTGCTGTGTGGTATGCTTTTGGTTAACTCACATGATACCCAAAATGGGACAGTATGTTTACAAACGGAACTGTCCAAATAACCCTGTTTTACAATTCATTTATTCAAAAATAAAATCCTTAATTCTGGTTGATTTTTCTTAAATTTCGCGTGACGTACTTGATGTATGCTCCCCAACGTACATGGCCAAAGTTAGTTTTACCGAAGGAGGGATCTTAGATGGGAAATGTTCAAACTTATCTTAAGTTTTGCTGTGTTCTTACCAACATGAACCCTTTGATTGTGACTATGAACCAAGGCGCAATAGACACGGGTAAAGAAAGTGACTAGATGGGCTTGTTTATTAATCTCTCTGCCCAAAATAGAAGCCAATATATAAAAGGTTAAAAGTGGCTGCTGCTACCGTTAGATGAATTAAGCCTCTTTCGCCGTTGCGTGCTAATAGCAGGTTAAGTGGTCCAGCAAATCAAGAAGAAAAATGCAACTCATTTTTTCTCCTTTTTGTTTTCCCGTCATCTTCTGAACTTTCAAAGTCATGGCCGTTTGAAATCAGTCAGTGGTTCAGTGCCTAGGCGAGTTACTTTTCAATTAAAGCAATTTCATTTCTGATGGAATAGGAGGAATCGAACATGAGTGTTATAAGGCCTAATTTGCATACGTTATAGATTTTGTTGTTCATGGAAAATTACCAGAACAATTTAAATGGAAAATTATTATTATTCTACGATAAATTTGGTATAATTAAAAAACTTGTTAGTGCTAGAAGGGCAAAGCATTTCACCGATTGGACGCTAATTCTATAGATACGTGAAAATAGGCAAAAATTGCTTCCCTTTATCAGTTCACTGCTCGTCAGAACATTCGATCGACATAGACACGGTGTAATATTTTTTTATGTGTGGTTTCTAATACGATGGCTGGCATTCCAATCGCACCTAATTTATACAAGAAGCCAAACTAAACCGGTTTTAGCTTGATTCAATCATCTTCAACTGCTTATGGTCTAGAAAAAGCTGCTGCTACTGCTGCAGGAACGCCTATCGTTTTCGGAAAATTTTCCATTACGAATTTCGATCGCCTTTGTTATCAATTTCGATTACCTCATCATTTGTAGGTGAACACAGTTAGGACCGTCTCACCGCTCTCTGTGTGAGTCAATATTGTTGGACTACAATTGTAGCTGAGAATTCCTAATGCCTAGTGTAGTGAGTTGAGTATGACCTAACCCCTCACTCGACAAACGAGCTAGATTTGCTTGCCGAATCAAATCACTCGGGAGAGGAAATATCGCGCGAATCTGGTTTCTTTAGTTGCGCCCGCATTGAGTCACTTCCTCTCAAAGCCAGACGGCATACATCAACACGGGATACCTACCTACTCTGCGAGAAAGAATGTGTTATTTACATTTTTACGCGATTCTATCGCCACGCTATAGGCCATTGTTTCTGCGGTGTCTATATTTATTAGCAGGTATTGATCGTGAATATCTGCGAACGTATTACGTAAGTCACATTTCAGTTCAACAGAACAGCAAATGCAGGGGAATAAAATTGCACATACCAAGTTTTACAATGAATGACATAGTAGATGTCATAGGAACGGTGTTCTGAATGAAACTGACGTGGCCTACTTGCGATTGCAAGATTAAAGTCACCGATAACTAAGTTTTCTTTTCACTGGAGTTTATCGCTGATAACAGATGTAAATATAGGGTATTAGCCAAGGAGTAAGTCACTCAGCACATTGTGCCAAAATTAGATTTGGCACAGCTTGGTCACATCCATTGGAACACCTTTGGCATACCTTCGACATACCTTCGGCACAATATCGTAGGGATTGGATTGTTGTAAATAAAATGGGAGCACTACTGGACATTTAAGTTATTAAAGTTATTCACACTTAGAAATTTTTACAGAAATCTGTAAAAGTTTAACGAAATCTCAACAGCTGAACGTTCGGTAAAAAGTTTCGCAGATTTCCTGTAGTTTTTCACAAATATCTGTGAATTTTTCACAGATATCTGTAAATAATTACAGGAAAACTGTCAAAAAATTTACCGAACGTTCAGCTGTTGAGATTTCGGTAAAATTTTACAGAAATCTGTAAAATAATCTTACTGTGTTCACATCATTACGTGCTGTTTGATTGTATATTCAGAACCATCCTCTAATCGAGTATACCAGAGGAACTCAGACCAGCAGTTCACTTATAGATGTAAATAAGAAATGTAGGTTCTAGAGTGGGCTCAAGAGAAAGAGGCTGTGAAGTAATGAAACATTACTTCATTATGATGGCTACCAAGCCTTTGGAATTTTCCTTATTAGAAAGTTGAATAGATTTTTCTCCTTTAGTTTACTTAAATCTTTGGTTTTTATTAGTTAGGTAAGTTCCGATTCAACACATTTTAGTTTCATTTTTATACCTGTGATCTTGACTTTTATACCTAGGGGATGAGTACTTAAGGGGGTTAGATTTTAATAAATTCTTTAGTGGGAATGACACTGGTGAAGACTGCACATTGTAGTCGAAATACGTATCTGCCATGGATACCAAAATTAATTAAGTGGAATTAAATGGAAGATAACCTTTCTTATGATCTTTTGTTTTATAGAAAGAGGCTGTTAATCAGACCCCCCTTAATTCATCAAAATTTCGCACACCTGCCACTTCCCGCGTCATCCTCCATTCGATTTATCCTTCCGATTTCAAACCAAAACATCTATCCCTCTCTCTATACAGGTTTTCCACTAAGAAGCCCACATTAATCAGAATTCATGATATATAATGTTTAATGTATTAAATTAATTGTATTTTGTTTTGCTTTGTTTTTCCTACAGCCTTCGACAGTTGGTAGCATTACGCTAAGATTTTATTTTTCAAGGCTTGTGTTTTACATTAGGAGTTATGATTAAATTAAAATAATGTTTGGACATTTTTTAAACACGAGATTGAGAAATATACTCGGCT